ACATGCTAAAGTAGAGATAAATCAGAACACAAAAAGCTACCCATGAAAATAGCACAATTTTAGCAGTAACAGGGATCCCCTGGCATAAATATAATCTATCAAAGCAGCCCAAGAATCGCGTCAGAAGAGGCTGCATGCTTAGTGTTACACAGTTGGCACAAAGGCTTATCCAATACATTTTATAGAGCTGTGTTGATAAGAATTTCAATATTGTTGAGCAAAAGTTTTGTAAAAAACCCATCCCTGCGTGGTATGGAACATGCCAGTGGGAAGGATGTGAAAGAAGCATAGCGTGCATTCAGCTGCTGTTTGAGCTGCCAAAAAAGCATCCGTGTTAGCCAGATACCACCCGGCAAATACAATGAGTAGATTGACTTTCTGGGAGGAAATATCTGACAAAGATGTATGGATGAGAAGACAAAGAACAAACTATTTGACTTTGCTAGAAATGTGTTTGCCGTACTTATTCAGAGTTGGTCTGAGTATTCAGAATGGACTGGAACGATCCAGTAATTTCAATACAGAGTGCCTGAATAGCCCAATACATTTCAAGATGAATAAGAACCATTGACTCGTGGGCTGTAAACCGAGAGATTTAATTTGGTGATGAAGGCATCTGATCTGATGAGGACAAACGAGTTCTGTGTAACAATGCTCCTTGCTGGTTTTCCTGTTTCCCATGACTTGCCATTTGTATTTACCTATTTAAGAATACTGCGATTTCCCTTTTTTTCCCCTAAGCCTTATAATACACAGCATACAAATGATTTTTACAGGAAACACTCAACCCATAGACACATACAAATCGCACTATAAAAGCGCAGGATCATCTGGGCAGCTACACCTGGCTGTTTGAAAGGCAGTTTTAAAGGCGAAAGCTGGAATTCTGTGAAACCACTGGCATCCCTAAGCCAGAAGCCTGGCTTCTAGCCCCTGTGGGCAGACTTGTCACTGCTCAGCGCACCTCCCGGAGGGGCATCCCCGGAGCCCGCAGCCCACGCTGCCGCCTCTCCCAGGCAACAGGCCGGCCCAGGAAGGCACATCCAACGCCCGAGGGAGAAATCGGCCGCTGCTCCGGCTCCGTAGAGGCGCCCGCCTTTCATCTTTCACCTCAGGAGCGCCCGACTCGGCGGGCGGGCTGGGCGGGCTGGGCCGCCCG